TGTGTTGTTAAACCTGTAGGACTGATTCTCTTCTTTAAACATGAACTAAACTTAAGTTCAGCAGCACAGTTCTGGCCCTCAGAGCCTGAGGAACACCGAGATAACTCAGATGTTCACACTGGATCCTCAGTAAAGTTCACTACAGTACAGTAAAGTACACTGAACTATAGTAAAGTATAGTATAGTGTAGTGTAGTGTAGTGTAGTGTGTAGGGTATAAACCTGGCGGCCTGCATCAGCGGGGTCCAGCCGTAGTGGTTCCTCCGGTCCACCGACGCTCCTTTCCGCAGCAGGAACCGGACCAGCAGCTCGTGTCCTCCGGCGGAGGCGAACATCAGCGCCGTGTTTCCATCCTCATCGGTTCCGTCCACATGCGCCAGCCCGCCAGGGTCCTCCAGCAGCCGCCGGCAGCTCTCCAGATCTCCGTCATCGCACACGCGGAACCACAGCAGCGGATTCACCGGAGCCGGACTCATCCCGGGCCGCCACACTCACCGGAGAACCGGGGAACAGTACAAACACTATGCGCATGCGCACATTCCAACGGAACAACAACTCACGGCGGAGACCCCTGCTGGACACACACACACACACACACACACACACTGCTGTACAGTTACATTGGGAGCTCTGGGCTCAGGAGGCTCTGAGAGCAGCACACTTTCCTACACTATCATCATTATCGGCGTGTTATTGAAGGCAAATGAAGCTCACTCAGTTACACAACTACACAACTTTCCCCAACGCTGGCGGTGTGTGTTGGGATGCTGTGTGCTGTTGTTAGTCTCATCAGCTCAGTAGATCAGTGTGATTGACACTAGTCCCCTTCTCCTGTTCCTCGTGTGTTCAGAGTGATGGGAGCACTGCAGCAGTGCAGGTATGTGGGTCAGCACCTCCTGCTCTCCGTCTGCTCCTGCAATGCCAGATTCAGCCAGCGCTCATCATAATTACTCATTTATAAAAGATCTTTAATCAGACTTAATTAACTCACTTTACAAGTTTAGAAAACTCAATATAATCTCTTCATAATGTGTTACTCTGCTCCAGCATCACCCCAACACTGCTCACACCACTCGGCACCGGTCAGCAGATGGCGCTATGGGCTGATGTATGTTACTGTCCTGAGGAGAGCCTGAAGCACAGCTGACGGAGAGCAGCGGGAATGACTTCAGTAGTTTTAGATGCATCTCTTCTACACTTTGGATGTGCATCCTCAGATGCTGACGGTAAAGCGCTGTGTGGACAGCCCAGAATCAGCCAGAAACACACCGAATCAGCAACTTAAACAGATCTTTATCACTCTGAAAACACGAGAGTTTACTATAGATGACGGTGTGTGTTTGCACACTCAAACAACAACAATAATAACGTCAGATTGATGATCATAATCCTGTCCTGATGTCTGAGCTCGGTTCCTAAAGCTCGCTAATCTCTTATTTAGTATTCTGATGAGTTTAGCCTGTAAAGACTGTAATTATATTCACACATGCAGATCAATATTCATGAGCTGTGCGATCATCAGAGAGGAATGAAGAAATACCCTCAGCCAGATCAGCAGATCCGACACGAGGATCAGTCAGGGTCAGGGTGAGTTCAGATCAGTCAGGGTTAGTCAGGGTCAGGGTTAGTCAGGGTTAGTCAGGGTGAGTTCAGATCAGTCAGGGTTAGTCAGGGTCAGGGTTGGTCAGGGTCAGGGTTAGTCAGGGTTAGTCAGGGTCAGGGTTAGTCAGGGTCAGGGTTAGTCAGGGTTAGTCAGGGTCAGGGTTAGTCAGGGTCAGGGTTAGTCAGGGTTAGTCAGGGTCAGGGTTAGTCAGGGTCAGGGTTAGTCAGGGTTAGTCAGGGTCAGGGTTAGTTCAGGTTAGTGAGGAGTAATATAATGATAAGGGGGAATGAACAGCAGATCAGTGTTTAATAGCTGTTGGAGTCTGAACTCTTTGTTGTGATGATCAGAGCTGTGTTTTCATCTCCTCATCAGGCGTTTGCTGTGATTAGGCCACATCTCTCATCATCTGATGCTGTTTTCTGCAGTTTAATGTAGAAACTGGAGCATTTCACTGTACTGCAGCCCTGAAGATCAGCTCTCTACACTGACTCATCTGAACACACGAGTCTGAACACACGAGTCTCTCTGATAGAATCGGAACACACGAGTCTCTCTGAGTGAATCAGAACACACGAGTCTCTCTAAGTGAATCAGAACACACGAGTCTCTCTGAGTGAATCAGAACACACGAGTCTCTCTGAGTGAATCAGAACACACGAGTCTCTCTGAGTGAATCAGAACACACGAGTCTCTCTGAGTGAATCAGAACACACGAGTCTCTCTAAGTGAATCAGAACACACGAGTCTCTCTGAGTGAATCAGAACACACGAGTCTCTCTGAGTGAATCAGAACACACGAGTCTCTCTGAGTGAATCAGAACACACGAGTCTCTCTAAGTGAATCAGAACACACGAGTCTCTCTAAGTGAATCAGAACACACAAGTCTCTCTGAGTGAATCAGAACACACGAGTCTCTCTGAGTGAATCAGAACACACGAGTTTCTCTGAGTGAATCAGAACACACGAGTCTCTCTAAGTGAATCAGAACACACGAGTCTCTCTAAGTGAATCAGAACACACAAGTCTCTCTGAGTGAATCAGAACACACGAGTCTCTCTGAGTGAATCAGAACACACGAGTCTCTCTGAGTGAATCAGAACACACGAGTCTCTCTGAGTGAATCAGAACACACGAGTCTCTCTGAGTGAATCAGAACACACGAGTCTCTCTGAGTGAATCAGAACACACGAGTCTCTCTAAGTGAATCAGAACACACGAGTCTCTCTGAGTGAATCAGAACACACGAGTCTCTCTGAGTGAATC